TTGATAATCTCCAAGCAGATCTTTTGGTGGGGGTAAGACAGTATCAAATTGGCCAGTCTGTAAGTCTGTAACCATTTCCCCATGGATACAGCCTGGCCAATTTGATACTATCTTACCCCCACTAAGAGATTTGCTTGGAGATTAGTGTTTTGAGTGAGGAGCCTTCTCCTCGTGTTGCTGTTTAACTGCTTTAAGTCGCCATCTTTGTTTTTCGTCGGGACAAGTATAAGATTGAATCGGTGTAATTCTTGCTCTGTAAAGTACATTTTACTGTTTGCGCCAAGAATAGCATTGTTTTCACCTAGAATAATTTCGACCAGTCACTCTGATCTTCTTCAATAGTCTATTGAACTCTAAAAATAAGATTCACATTTGTTTTGCTAAACTTTGCTTCTTTTCAACAGGACGAAAAGGACCAGATTTTGACAGTAGATATCTGGTTAAGAATGGTGAGTTAAATTCATGATTAGGCTTGGCCTCTTATTTTGTATTGCTCATACAGTTGGGAGATGACAAATACAATTGCATGGATATCTGAAGCTTAAAAATAACGTCACATATATTATGTGTGAAATTCCTATCCATTCAAATATTGACTTTCCTCAATATCAAAGCATATTGTCTTAACTGCCTGCATGTTTCAAAGCAAAATAGGACGAAATTCGCATTATCAACGAGGAAATACCATATAATATTAATGATTACACTGTACACAGCACATTTGTCATGGGCGTATACTATATAGCCATTGGGGTGAAAGACAGATTTGGCATCAATATATATATGATATAATATGGATTGCACTATTCTGCGGTGGTCTATATTGTTATTATACTTCTGCACTTCTGTGTGTTGCAGAAATGGACTGACGAGTTTCTGACCTGGAATGTGAGTGAGTACGGGGGGATAGAGACCGTCACGACGAGAGCGGAACGTATCTGGAGACCAGACCTGTTCCTTTACCACAAGTAAGCAGCAAAACTCCCTGGCACTTTTGATCAATTGCTTACGTCACGTATCAGTAAAGTCTCGTGTGAATAAGGTCACGTGTTTGTAAACCGTAACTCTCGCGAGATCACGTTTTGAAGTGATTGGTCATTAATTATCCTGATGAAGGCGACAGTGGTCGCTGAAAATTTGATCCCTGTAAATAGTGTGTTGGAATAAAGTTTAACGTTTTACTATGATTACTACCAACACAGATGAACTTTCATGATAAGCAGCTTGTCATTTACTACCCTGTAACATATCATACACCAAAACCTTAGGCCCTGCAGAACCAGATATACGCAAATACACCAAGTATTGTGCGTCTATACTAGGTATAGGTTTAGATATATTGTACATACTATTAAGATAGTACTGTACATAGACTTATGTATATTGTATTTTGTACTGGTACTTTGTACCAATTCACAGCGCTAGATATATTTACCAATGCATTGCACAAACACTGTCAATAAGAATAGTAAACAAATTTGAGACAAAACCTTTGCTATCATCAAAACTTTCTTCCTTTCATACAACCCCAAAGTCATTCTGATCCCAAAGTCACGAAAAGACCCTAGTAAGAACCTCCAGAATTCTGAAACCTCCGCCTACTTGTTGACACTCTGATTGACCAAATGTTCACAGTGTGAACCACGAGTTTGACGGGTGGCTCGATGAGGTGGTGGTCATCACTTCTGACGGCCTGGTGGACTGGAAGGCGCCCGCGGTGGCCATGTCTGCCTGCCCGGTGGACGTGTCCGACTTCCCCTTCGACAAGCAGAGGTGCAAACTTCAGTTCGGCTCCTGGAACCACGACGGGCGCTACATCGACTACTTCAGCAAGAACAACATGGGAGACTTGGCTAGTTTCATCAGGTAATACATTCCATCTCTGGTCTTATCTGCTTCTTATAAGTAGCTTTGTGGGTAGCTTTGTGCAAGGAGGTTTAAAATAACCCCCTTGTTTTGTGCCAAACCAAGCTTTTACAATCCCTATCCTATTGTATCCAGAACTGGGCATATCTAGTCCTAGTCATGTATATTCCTGAATGGGTTTTGGTAATGATGATCAGGCACAGTTCTGGATAGCCCTGCGCATCCAAGAAACGTATAGATTTACCCCAAGCACTGTTCTGGATTAGGTACACGCGTGGATCATCTAAAACCGTATCTAAGCATATAAAGATACAACAAGACCTGCTTAATCATGGTAATTCCTGTTGTATCCAGAGCCATGATTTGCCATTCCTCCGCGGGTAGTTCATAGTTCACATGTATCCATCACGTCTGGGGCGAATCTACGTTTTTGGATAGGCGGAGACCGTCCAGAACCGTGATTAATTCTAATCCTAATTCTAATATTAGTAAGAAAATTCAGAAAATTCTAGTTCAGGATACGTTGACTAGGTTAGACATCCAGGTAAACAAGATTCAAATACAATTAAAACTCTACTTCTGGACAATTTGAATTGCAGTGATTTCTTTAGACTTTACAAAGCTTTAAAAAATTCCCTTCGTTTTTACTAGAAACGCGGAGTGGGAAGTCCCGGAATTAGTGGCTAAAAGAAGCAACCCCCTGTACAACGGCGTTCCGTACCCGGACGTCACGTTCACCATCCACATGACCCGCCGATCCACCTTCTACGTCATCAACATGTTCCTGCCCTGCGTGCTGCTGGCGTTCGTGGTGGGGGCGACCTTCTACCTGCCGCCGGACTGCGGGGAGAAGATCTCGTTCGGCGTGGCCGTGCTGCTGTCCCTGGCCGTGTTCCAGCTGCTGGTGGCGGAGGCCGTGCCTCGCTCAGAAAACATCCCGGCAATAGGTACTTTTTTTATTGTTTACAACCACAAAACCAGGAGGCCAAAATTGACTGTCACGTTCCTCATCAGATGTACCAACGTACCAAATATCATCACAATCCAAAAAGGCCCTCTTCAGTTATGATGACCGATAGTATGCCGAAACACGTACACACATACACACACACGCACACACACACACACACACACACATACAGACACGCAGAGGCACATAGACACAGAGAGAGAGCGAGAGAGAGAGAGAGAGAGAGAGAGAGATCAGGCACGATGCTAGATAGCCTCGGTGTATCTTAAAACGTTTACCGCAAAGCACTGTTCTAGATCCTGGATACGCATGGACAATTCAAAACAAAGTCAAAAGTCTGAAAGTCCAGTCTTATCAGCATTAATCCAATTCAAGTCACCAAGAACCCAACCAGCTATTCCCATCTTGGCCCCGGAATGCCTTTTTTTTACTAAATCATTTCTTGTTTACTTTACAGGTCGGTTCATCTTCGTGTCCCTGGCACTCATGGCGCTCTCCCTGCTGTCCACCGCTTTCGTCATCACGCTGGGCGACTCCGTTCACGACACCAAACCCGTGCCCGGCTGGGCGCGGAGGGTCTTCCTCAAGTACGTCTCCAAAGCGCTGCTGATGGGCGACCAGTCCAAGCACAACTGGGAGGCGCCCTGGGACGTCTGCAACGCTCCATCCAAGCAGCTGGAAAACGACGGCCTCGCTGGCGAGGCGCTCACCTTCCAGAACGGCATGTGTTCTGACACCAGGCGGAAACCGACGGTGTACCTGCCGGCAAAGTCCATCATGAAGATCCCGGCATCGACGAGAAAGCAGCTGGAGTGCCTGCTGCAGATCAACGGCGCCATCGAAGAGATCTCCGGTTACCTGAAGAAGATGGACACGGTCAAGTACATCCACAACGAGTGGAAGACTCTGGCGATAGTGGTGGACAGGATTTTTCTCGTGCTGTACATCATTGCCTCTGCCCTTGCCCTGGTCATTACTTTACTCAACGTCCAATGAGACTATATAACGTGAAATAAAGTGATATATATTCTGCAAGCAGTCATTAAGTGGGGACATCTCACCGTTTTCAAACTTCCCTGAAAGTTTGTTTCTGTGACGAAAGGGACCCTGAATTCGTCACTTTTTAAAATTATAATATTTTAAATGTCAATTTTGAGAGCCAAAACATGTTTTGAGCTAGTACAGTGAAATTGTAGTAACAAGAACACTGTTAGGACTTTCAGCTTTTAGGTATGTATCGTTTAAGATCATCCAAATCCGTTTTCATGTTTGTTTGTTTGTTTGTTTGTTTGTTTGTTTGTTTGTTTATCCAGGAAATGCATATATCCTGATGGCGTTTTTCAATGGTTCCTGGGGAGAAAACCCCAAACAAAATCTAATAACAAAATGAACTCAAGATTAACAAAGGTATCAAAAAGTTACGCAGATTACAAATTGATACAAAATCAAAGTAACTTGAATAACATACATGATACAGAAGATCATACTACCAAGATAAGAGAAACAATGTTGTAATCTTAACATCATATAACGTAGAACCAAGGTAGAACATAATACAATGAAATCAGGATTGAATTTGCATATCGATGATTGTCAAGTACATACAGTTGTTTGAAGGCTGTTAGGGTTAATTTCACTAGGATTTGATGTCTAGATAATGTACACTTTACCGTTAAACCGATTTAGAACGTGATTGAAGTTGTATTGATTTTCTCGCATTTCCTTGAAGGCTTATCTTAGTCCGGAGGCCCCTTGTTGTTATTTTTATGTAATAAAAAGTAGTTAACTTCATTAGTTAACTTCATCAAGCTAGCCGACATCTACTAGTATCACATTCTATCCGTTCATGCGTTTGTCCTCGCTCTGCGTTGGTGGCGGCATTCAAATAAGTTGACAAAAACTTGAGTATACCGTCACTATGTCTTGTTTTATTAAATGTTGGAATTAAAAAGAATCTATCACACCGCAGTCGTTCTTCAGTAAGACCTCTGGAGCCGCATAGTTCCCGTTTAGAACTTTTATTCAGCCTGCCACCACCATTGTCACCCTGTTGGCGTCTTGAAGTGTACAGAGTCTACATCATACATTGCATTGCAAGTTTACAATAACGCCCTGGTCAATGGAGCGGAAACATGATACCACACAGGTCATAGTGCTCTGACCTTAGTTCATCTACAACATAACTTCATTGATTGTTATTTTATTTCATGCCACGCCCTCCCCCGTGCAGGATTCATTGAAAACGGCCAATAGGCGACATGTATGTCCCTACTAAATATATATACTACAATAAAATAAACTGGATAGTGATTTAAATAGATTAAAAATACGCTTTTAAGCCATATATATAACCGAAACAGAAGGAAACATTTATGTTCCATGCACTGACTTGTATGTGATTGAACTCTATATGACCTTCTCTACAATCATGTTTTAGTTGATTTTCGTCAACATGGCTGGCATGACGCCGTCTTCATTCCCACCCCTTTCTGCAGAGTCTGTCCACGGTGAAGGGAAGTACGCCAGCCAGATGACATTCACGTAGTTCTCGAAATTGGCCCCGACCAAGTACCTATGAGCGGGGGTGGTCAGGGTGACGCCGTCCACCATAGCCTGCCAAATCAGAAACAACACAAGCTGTCAGTTTTTTGTCAAGGTCAGGTATTGAAAAAAAAACAACTATGAAAACAGCGTCACATAGACAAGATGAATGACTTCCTCCCTCTGTGAAAGACTGAACCCAACCGTATCCATTTCAACCTGACTTAAGGGCTATACAGCAACTCAGACAGACAGACACACACACACACACACACACACACACACAAAAAAAAAAAACAACAATAGCTCCATTTCCAGGGAGGTAATAACAACAATGTTGTTTATTTTGGCAAGCACAAGCAAGGGACAGTTAACCAAAGCCCTCTTGACACTGTCGTAGGCGTAGACAGCAGACCACGACCCAGTAGTAGACATTAAAGCAACAGCTTCGAGACAAAAGGTACCCGTAGAGGTATCATATCGGCAGCAATAGCACAAGAAAACGCCAGACAGGACATGTGGGTTGAAATGAATTCAACACTTACATCTATGACAGCAGTGGCGTCCTTGGCATGGCTTGAATCACTATGCCCGGCCTCTATCTGTCCCATCCGGAAGTTGAAGTACTCCAAGCCGTAATCCTCCTTCACCACCTCCTCCATGTTGTCCCGCAAGTTCTGTACAATGCACGTGTTCATCGTTACACAATCTCTGACGCTATCCGGGGCTGACCCCATTGTATCTATCTAGTCACTTCATAGCCTTCAACACCATGGCAACTTACAGTTGGCTATGTGCAGGGAAAATGTTGCGATTCTGTTTTCCAGAACAACCCTAGCAAAAAGCCGCCGACCATAGCCTTTTAATCTACCACTGGTATGACAATAATATTTTAGATCAGACCAAGGAGGTTTAAACCTCCTTGCTACATGTAGGACCTAGCACTAGTACTTCAACGTTTATCATATTTTACAGAAATTTTAAGCGTGACATCAAATAATACTCCTATACTGAAATCATACCTCTACATGCCTATTGTAGATCTCGGGCAAAACGATGTCCGTGGCCTTCGCAAACCTGCCAGGCTCCACGATGACGACCTGGACACCCCACTTGTGCATCTCGTGCCTGTGTTGTTATGATTCACAGTCATTGGAAAATGCAAATACATACATCTGATATACAGACAGTCATTAATTGCCGTTCCCTCACTGGTTGAATTGATAGTGTAATGGACAGTCTGGATCGGTCTATGCGCGGTGATGCATCGTGTGCAATATGCCAATACAAGCATGGGAAGATAACATACCTAAGTGCATCTGAGAACGACTCCAGCGCTGCCTTAGTCATGCAGTAGGCTGACATAGCCGGGTGCGCATGGATCCCTGACCCGCTGGAAGTGTTCACAACTCGCCCTACAATGACAACAAGAATTCTGAGATCTCAGACCTCCATATTTTCATCTTGTGTGGTGTTCAATGAGTCCTCTTCATTACCATGAAAATTTTATTTTTCTTACCGTTTTGTCTGGAATGAGTTCACTATTGAAAAGAAGTAATCATAATGCCCAACCTTTCGCCCTACGAATAAGCGGCAGGAACGCCTTGGTGACCCGCACGGAGCCGAAGGTGTTCACTTCCATCACACGTCGGTAGGCGGCGAGGCTGACCCACTCTACCTCCCCTGGTTGGGCAACCCCAGCATTGTTCACCAATGCGTAAAGTCCTGTTGGAATAACGTGTATTAATCAAATAAAAATTGAATTATACCATTACGAAACAACTAATTAAAACATGTACTATACAATTACATTGTAAAAGGTACAGCCTGTAATACTTGGTTAATTAACACTGTAAGATTTTAATAGGTGTATTTGTTCAACAGTTGAGTAAAGAATACTAGTATTAATGGAATAGGGATGTTTTTATAGCGGTTTGTTTATATATATATATATAACGTTATAGCGTACTCACCATTTGATCCCGTCGGTAGTCTATCTTTGACCTGTTGTACAGCGGCCTGCACCTGTCCATCATCAGTCACGTCTATCTGAACAGTACTCAGCCTGCTCGAGCACTCCGCCCGGAGTTTCTTTGCCCCCTCCCCACCACTGTCTGCCAGCAGACAGCCGGCAAACACCGTGAAGCCCAGCGAGTCCAGGCGTTTGGCCAGCAGAAATCCGAAGCCGCTGTCACAGCCTGTTGGTACCATGGTGGAAAGTCAAAGTTCTACCTAGCAACGTTAACTTGCAAGGTACACTAGTCTCCCCCCCCCCCTTCCACCCACTGCTGGGGACGTGTAACATCGTTAGAGACTAACCCCCCATGTAGGCACACGCGTACGGCTGTGGTGACAACACGTATTGATGTCCTACCTGTGATGAAAACAGCTTTGCCGTTCCCGTCCACTCGGCTCTTCGGCGCCCAGTACAGAACCACCCCGTACCCGACTGAACCCAGCAGGATCCCCGTGCACAGGTAGTACAGGACAGGTACACAGTGGTACAACAACAACAACAGGCCTGAGACGGCGGTGAAACCAGCCAGGCTTGCAGTGTAAAACAAGTGCAACGGTTTGACCATCGCTAGAGCCAACCCGGAACTGCAGCAGTGCTGTATGGATCAAACTTTGAACTTTGACCAAACAGGAACTAGAACTTGAACTTTGACCTATCACTAGCTGTGAAGTTCAGCTAGTCATGTAACGTTCAAGCAACCCAATGGGAATTGGCCCCAAAATTGCTTGATATGTCAGATACTAAAGCAGCTTCGATTTTTAACTTAGAGCACACATATTCGGCGTGGTTAAACTATACAAATGAAGACCGCCTCTTATGATATCTTGATTCAGTTTTAATTCTTACCTATCTATATTACCTACGCTAGCTATTGACATACCGTGAAGGGTTAATTTGAGCCTATGCAATCTACAACAATATATTGCACACGGCAAAACGAAATATCTGTACTATAGAAACCGAAACAAAATTACAAACGACGAAAGTGTGAGATTTAGTTTATTTATCTTAGAACGACTAGAGTCCTAGAGTTAATTTTGAGTATCCTAGACTTGATCTCTAGTTTATTTATTTATTAATTCTTGTTTCTGTAGTTTTAAATGCCCAAAGTATTAAATGCCGATTTAAATGCGCTACTGTGAAGCAGTATGTGCCAATATCACAAAGATTGTTATTATATTATGCACCTTTGTCAGTCTCATGCACATGAGATATTCAGCACATATAGTTAGCACAATGTTTTGTAACAAGGTATATAGACATGTACTAAGTATATGTGTTTATTTCCCTATCAATGTATGCTTGAGGAAGAAATAAAGAAATTCAGAATATTTCCAGTTTTGCTGCCCTGAAATCGCATGCAACAAAACTTGGTACATGTGCTCAAAACTGAGTGTCTTCCTTCCATTGCGAAGCACCATTTTCTCTCGGAACTGTGTTGCCCAGCAGTCGTGGAGTCTCGGGTGTTTCTGGTACCTTCTCCTTGCTCTTGCCTGTACGTGCGTGGTAGATCCTGACGGCCGCCAGGGTGAGGATGGCAGACAGGGCTGTCGCTGCGAGGATGATGATAACCAGCCTAGTTTCATCCAACCACGCCAGAGTCTGACAAAAGAGTAAAGAATAAACTAGACCGGTTTATTTCACAACAGTGATACAAGCATGTTTGCAGCCCAACGGGGTGAATAGTCGGTGGCAAACCATTTCTGAAAAAAAAAGGTAGTGTTCAGATTCTGAAGTAATGAATTCAAATTGAGCTAAACTAAAACCACTGCCATTGACGGCTTACCCCCGACTGTCCATTCGGTCCTTCGCCGCTCTCTCCCGTTGACGGTTTCTCGTCCCCAGTAAAGTCTCCACAGGTGGGGAAGCCGTGTGGAAGGGCGGGTAACTTGTCCAGGGCCTCCGCGAACACCATGGCCATCCCCTGGGTCTGGTGAGTTGTTTGATGACAGTGGAAGAACCAGAATCCCGGGTTGTTACTCCTGTGGAAGTTGATTATTATGTATTAGGCCATGTTGATTTGATTATATGGATGACATCCTCTGGAAACCCAAAACTGATGCGAGCGTGCGAATAAAAAAAAGTTTTGCAAAAGAAAAAGTTCTTTTCATTATGAAATCTACGTGGTCATGAGGGTTGAGCAAATGGCACAGAATATGGTTTGGCGAATAATCTAGTCTTCAAGTTCATTTCTTTACAATTTCGTCTTTTTTCGTTTGATTTTGGCATTCTACGACATTGGTATAGTTTTTATTAATTTTTTTTGTAACTCATGGTATATTTTTGCTCATTTTGCAACTGTTTTGTACGATTTACAGTATGGTTGAAAACTTTTTTTTTTTGGAAACGGCCGAAAATTCATGCGGGCGCGGATATGTCATCCATATAATCAAATCAACATGGCCTTATGTATAATCTGCGGATACTTTCGTGAAAACTTTTTTTATCATAATTTTAAAGGGAGGGTCTCATAAGAGCTGGTACTACTGACGGTTCTCCCGGCTATAGCTATACAGATACAGAAGCTCAGGTGTGTTGTGCCGAGGGGCGGTTATTCCGGATATGCTCTGTGTTATGACGAGGGGAGCTTATTCCGGATATACAGATACAGAAGCTCAGGTGTGTTATGCCGAGGGGCGCTTATTCCGGATATACAGATACAGAAGCTCAGGTGTGTTATGCCGAGGGGCGCTTATTCCGGATATACAGATAAAGAAGCTCAGGTGTGTTATGCCGAGGGGCGCTTATTCCGGATATACAGATACAGAAGCTCAGGTGTGTTATGCCGAGGGGCGCTTATTCCGGATATACACATACAGAAGCTGTAGAAGTGCGGCCAAACCTACTATATAGAAACAGACCTAGCATCTACTACTTAGAATTTAAACACTGTAATCACCTTTCTGTCACAAATCAAAGTTTCCATTTTTAAGGCCCAGCTTTAAAATGCATATATATAAATAGTAAGCTGTCATTTTAAACTAATGCCTGATATAGAAGATTATGCCCTGAGTCGTCGCCAAACTGAAAACCGGATGAAACGCACCTGATTTCTATAACGGTGTAGCCAAAGGCGGGCACGACCACTGTGTCCCTGACAGGGGGTCTGTTGAAGTTCAGGTTCGGCCTCCTTGTTCCGTTCCAGGACGCCACGCTACATTCCAGGCTGTCTCCGCAGTAAATATCGGCGTTGGGAGACGTCAGGCGCCCTACACGTCACAGGGAAATAACTCACTTTATGTTCAGTGAGAAAAAGGTGTTCAATGCAAGTAAACTATATGTTGACGGCGGCGGCATGTGTAGGAACATCCTAATGTTACATAGCACGCCGGCAGAACGTACTGCACCTGCGCGAAATCCGTAATGTAGTATGCATAGCACTTCACAGAACGACAGTCTCATTATAGGTCATGCATATAAGGTTAACACCTCGTCTGTAGTTCCAAATGTTGTTTTGGAAAAGATATTGTCTGCATCAGGCAAAATTATAATGCAACGGTGACCAACAATAATCCAACGAAAACCGTGAAAAAATACGGGTTTCGCGCAGGCGCAGTACGTTCTGTCGGCGTGTTATGTTACATAACGCAGCTTTAAACGAAAACTCACCCGTTGTTTCGTTGTAGTCTGGAAACCCCATGGCCAGAACCCTGAAGTCGTACCCGTGCAGATGTACGGAGTGGTGCATCCCGTAACCAATAACGCCCAGGTTCATCAGCACAAACCTGATGGTCTTCCCGTGTGGCAGCTTCATCACGTGCCTAGCAGAAACACATACTGTTTAATGAAACCCAAAACGAACGCCCTGAAGAAGACTTTCATTTATAGATCTTTAACAGTTTGGAATACTTTGCCACATGAGGCACAAGCATCAACTAAGAGTAGGTTTAGGCAGGAGTTGTTAGAGCACATGCGTACATAGGCACATGTTGATAGGCACGTGTGATGTCACTTTTAAATGTTAAGTTAAATGTTGTATGTAAATAATGTTGCAATTTCGATGTAGTGTATTTGTACTATTGTGGTGTATTGCTTAAGTACCTTAACTCCAGGAAGATTAGCTACATACTTGATTTTGTACCAATGTCTTGTGTGTCGCTAATGGAGTTTAATAAAGCACATAAACGAGAAAGCACATAAAGCACATGCCTGCACCAGCAGCCGCCGATGAATCCACAGGTGGTCTCGCAGGGGGGGAAGTCGTCATCGGGACGCGTGTTTAAAATCAGCGGCGCTTTCGGGGTGTCAAACTTGATAAAGTTTATCGTGGAGCCAAGTCCGAAGCTGAAAAAGTACTCCTGGATAGTTTCTGACTCGTCCGGCATTGAGTACTCCTGGGTGCTCCTCAGGTCTGTGGCGTAGAGACATTCTGCATGGCTGTTCTGAGGGAAGGCCGGGAAAGGGCAGTTCAGAACCCGGCACGGGTTGTCCTCGGTGCAATCTTGGGTGGTCGTCACCGGGTCTTCATTGGTACGGGCGCCGTCATATGCCAGGATGGCCTTTACATCTTGCATTCGGTTCTCTGAAGCGGCATCGGGCCCTTTCCCCGCCCACGGCGTCTCGGCGCGGATCCAGTAGTTCGCGACAGGCTGATCGCCGGTCACTTCGAAGTCGTACGACTCTCCCGGAAACACGAGGATGGACTGGACCTGGACCGGCGTGACGTCATGCCCGTCAGCCGCCACGACCGTCATGCTGTGCGCGTCGATGGACAGGCGGAAGGTGTACTCTGCGCCTGCGTGGATGAGGCGGAGCCGCAGGGTTTCTCCAGGCGAGATGTCACACCTTGTGAGCGGGGCGGAGTTGTTGTTAGAACGGCCACGCCCGTTGATGAGGCCAGATTCGAAGCGGATAGCCGTCAGTAAGCTACCGTCAAACATGAAGGCACGTTCTTGGTTGGTGACCTGAGATTGGTTTGGAGCGAATGTTTAATAATCGTCAAAGTGCAATCTAGTTAAATGTGCAGGCATCTACATGTATATCCATAGAGCAAGAACTCAGAATAACTGTCAAACGTTCAAAATCCTAGACCTCACGTTCTTTTTTACAATTACAAAAACTTCCAAGCCACTCATTTCAAAAATCAAAGTCACACCTAATTCAATACCTTTACCAAATGATGTTAACCTTAATACGCATTACGGTTTCCAAAAGTTTCTCATTGTGCATTGTTATCCACATCATTCTTATTCCATTGTCTTCTGGACTGACTTACGAAGTAGCGCCCGGGACCCAACATCCTGTCCATGAACCCGTTGTCCACGTCGATGTTGTTGAAGTCTTCGTGCCACCAATCCTGCAGGAACAGCGGCAGGGACGGTTTCGTCGGCATGCTGTAGAACGCGCACAAATATAAAGTCAGGATAAAGATTTGCACTTCAGGTAGAGTCAATACTTAAAGAGTGGGGTCGTGTGGCGCAGCGGCAGAGTACTCGACTCGGAACCCTGAGGTCCCGGGTTCGAGTCCTGACATGCCACCGATCTTGTGCCCTTGGGAAAGGCACTTAACACGACTTTCCTCACTTAACTCAGGTGAAAATGAGTATTGTCCTGTTCCGTATTTGTCCTCTGCGTTGGTGACGGTATAAAATAAGTTGATATAACTTGAGTGTGCCGTCACCATGTCAAGTCATGAAATGTCGAAAAAAAAATGCTTAATGAGAAACATATAATTGAGACCCAGGATGGAGATCACACTGCAAAGACCTAGCCTCACTTGTACAGCGATGGGGGCTATAATTTTTTGGGTGGGTGGCTGGGCTTTGCGCTAATAAGGGCTGCGAATTCCAAGTCGAAGAGGGAGTTTTGCGCAGAGGAAGGAGTATACGCTACCCCTCCGCGACGCATAACGGCAAAACTCCTTCTTCGACTTCGGAAAGTCCAATTCTTTTATGTAGGACATTACAGCTCAAACCTGTTGTAGACTTACCTGTTCTTGTGCACTATGAAGGCCCCATACAGACCATCGACCTTCTGAGAGCCCATGTGCCCATGGTACCAATGGGTTCCCGCTGGCTCCGCCTATTGCAATATGAAAAGGTAAAGGTAGTCCCGTAGCTTTTTTGGGCCGTGGGTGCTCAAAAATAAAAGACCTCCTGATCCTCACGTAACGTCTTCTGGAGCTTTTTCAAACTTTTCATGTATCAGGAATGTTGACGTACGAAAATTCGCTAAGAAATTTCAGCTGATGTCAATGTCAGACAGATTTTCTCATCCAGAGAACATCTTTGTTTTGCCACCCTGAAGTTGCATTTGATGCCTTTAACAGCTATATCGACTACTCATTACGACGTTTACAATTTTACAGGTACAATTATAATGTACCAACACACTGCAGTTTTCCGTTTTGTGGTGTTGGTTTACATTATGTAGCAAGTGGCAGGACAGAGACTGGTCATCATACATGTATATATGAAATGCTTTGAGCAAGAATAAACAGAGGTAGATTCCTTAGGCTAGACCATGTGAAGATAGACATTATCGGGACTCACCTTGAACCTGTAGGTGAAGTTGTGCATGGGTAGGATGGGACACTGCGTGACGTAAGGAACCCCATCCATATATGGCACACCGCGCATGTGCATGCCGTGGAAGTGGAGTGTCGTGGCTTCTCTCAGCAGGTTGTTGACGACAGTTACGATCACCTGATAGGGAGTGAATAAATCAGGGCCACAAGTTGCTGTAACACATCAAAACAGCCTGGACCGGGGAAAAGTGTTCTTCTTAGACACCGGTAGTTTTCTTATACAAAAGCATGCAACAGGCTTGATTCTTTTCCTTTAACCTTTAAGTTCTAGAAAAAATTGTTTGTAAGTATACGTATGAATGAAATGTATGTGTAGAAAACAATTTTAATCGAAAAGTTTAATGTCCGATGCACACTTGTTACATTTTACTTACCTTGCGCCCTCCTCTTAATTATAATGAGATAAAGGGCTGGCCTAGGTGTACTTCAACGAGTCATCTTGTATATATTTGTATATTGAAATAAAGATGATTTTAACCCCCCGGGACCAGGTAAGACAGAGATCAAAAGAAAACCGTAGCAAACGTTTTATAATAGACTGCCCTGTTGAAACAAGGAGACCCAGTCGGTGTCATTTTACATTGCTCAAAGGCTGTCATGCGCGTGCTGTCGAAATCAATGGCAACTGGCCAATTCCATCAATTTCTCACTGGTTATCGCCAAATACAGGGGATTCCACTTATTTGTATACCTTTTATTTGTATAATTCGGGTAATTGTATAGAATTCTAAAACACCAAACCATTTACCATTCACACCATTGTAAAAACAATGCATAATTGTATAGCGCATTATCGCATATTCCGGCGTATCGTATAGAATTTGGTCCGACTAGATCGTATAATGACCCAGAGCGGAATCCTCTGTAATTTGAAACGTTTTCGCCACACGTTTGAAATGAGGTTGCCATAGACAGAGATTTGGCAAAGTGGTAAGCTCCCTCAAGTCTCTTAATGCTTATGTCTAATGGGGGAAAATTGAGACCGAGAAAAAGCGGTCGCCATGGCCAGATAGCCGTTATATAGAGGTGGCCGCTTGGGCAAGTTTAGCTGCATTTGTTTACCTGCGCTCCTTCCATGACCTCCAGTGTGGGACCGGGGAACTGGCCGTTCACCAGGATTACGTTTCGCTGCGCTCCATCAGCTGTGATGGTCTCTTCCACAGGAACTATGGGTCCGTCCCTCTCCCATAAGAAATCTCTCACCTTCAGACTCCCGTTTGTTAGAAGATCCACCTGGAGTGTTCGTAAATTTATAACGGTAAATGATGGATAGATGTTTTAAGTTAAAACTTTTGTTCCAACACAAAGGTAAATGTTTGCGTTGGAAAAAGTATTGCTTAACTTTATTAATAGTTGTAACATTTAGCTCAAAAAGATAAAATTTCCCAAGAAAAAGACTTTTTCACATTTGGTTTCAGACTGTAATGAAAACTAAAACTCGGTGCTTGCGTGGGTTACTGGCCTCTTTCCAGGTCCAAGAAAATCATCATCGCCTTTCTTAGCCGGTACGTAAGGTAGTAAAATCCAAAATGGCGGCCTTACCCCAGTGACGTAACCGTTCCTTGCGGTGTGCGTCATGGTCCGTGCGTACCGGACCGCCAGCGTGAACTCGCACACGTCATCAGTGCACCTCTGCGCAGTTGCCATGGAAACGCAGAGGCAAACAACAACGAGTGCACGGAGCAGATGCATGATTAGACTGGCAATTAAACCTGAAAAAAATCAGAATTACTTTGCAATTATATTAAATGTCATGGTATTTTGGCTCAAAGAGTAATATTATCAATCATTAACTACCTTCTAACCCAGATTTATTCTGGGTCACCCACATATCTGGAAACAGTCCTTTCTTCCAGGTCAGTTGACACAGGTTTAGAGAGAATGCTCAAATATCAAGTAAACAAGTCCCTGAAAGGAGATCAAGAATGACCAAAGTTCTCGACAGGGACAGACAAGCGTTCTTAGGTTACTAGTAGTCTCGCCTAACTGTGCCAAGGAGAGGCCCACTTCTAAACGTTCCTCCAAGTCAAATAAACTAACAACGAACTTCCAAGTTCTTGTACCTTTTTCTTGTGCACGATCACGGTTCTTGAAAGCGTACGTGACTACCGTACAGCAATTTGATTGCGAGTATTGTCACAGAAATGATAGAATGGTGATCTTCGTTTGGCTTTCTTTGGTAGAAGAGATTGTCATTTGGTGAATAATTTGCAATCATCGTCACATGTATGCCACAATTGTGTACTATGTTGTCCCGATGACGACCTCGAAATTCCTACAAAAAAGGCATATTTAATCGCTGATACCACGTAGTGGAAATGCATCGCCAGTGCTGAAGCCACTTTCCACACTGGAATCGAGTGCTGAGAAAGGAGAGTGGTTTTCGTAGTTTTGCTGGCGTAGCCAATAGCCAGGCGACCTCACCGAAAACCTGTCAACTAGTACCGAGGCTTACTCCTGACCCATTCCTAACCATGGTTGGGGGGAGTTCGGCAGTTTTCGGGAGGACATTTTATTCGGCTATGTGTGACAGGGAAACAGTAAGGGAATTTACATACCTTGGGAGTGTCATCAGTAATGACGGAGGATCAAGTAAAGATGTGCATGCCCGTATTGGAAAGGCCAGAACTACATTTGAGCAACTAAAGCCCGTTTGGAGATCCAAAAGCTTTTCACTGAAAACCAAGCTCAGACTGTTCGAGACTAATGTGAAATCTATCCTGCTGTTCGGATGTGACACATGGGTCCTGACGAAACACAGCATGAACAAACTTCAAGTGTTTGTTAGCGCAAGACTCCGGTACCTTCTTGGGATCTGGCCCAGAAAGATAAGGAACCAAGAACTGTTGGACTGAATAACAGGTCAGGAACCTATCGAACTTAGCACCATCAGAAGAAGAAAGTGGCGCCGGCTGCCACACTGTGGCACACTGCGAAAACCGCCAACGTCCATAACAAGAACAGCCCTGTCCCTCCGTCTCTCTCTCTCTCTCTCTCTCTCTCTCTCTCTCTCTCTCTCTATCTCTCTCTCTCTCTCTCTCCCTCTCGAAGATCGGTAAGACAATTTCAAAGCTATAACGTTACATCCAAGATATTCAAGTACATGATTGGCCGGAGGTGACCAGACTTGGTACTACTTTTTGGTTAGTTTAATAGAAGTGTATTCAACCCGGTTCTAACCGGAGGTCAGTCCTTGCGAAAGTGAGAAGATCCATCTGGAGTACCTCAAGTCAAAAGTTTACTGGGTCAACACGCGGCCGGGGCATCCAGGCCCTGAGATAGTAGTACTGTTACAACTATATGCATAAGACTAACAGTGATCACCACCTACCTCGAGCTCTCGATGTTCTCTAGCTTGTAGACGCTTCTGACAGGGAAATAGCCCTAGTACTAACTGAGTCCTTCGTGTGAGACGTGGGGTCCCAAGTTTGAGGAGAGCCACGCACACTTCTAACGGAGCGCAGCTACAAAATTGGCATCTTACGACAGTATGACCGGTCCTTAAACCAATGATGTAAAACAAAGAATACTCTGACCTTTGGTTACCATCAGTTCATTGTATGACGTCCGCACGTGCTTTACAATCTGCTTTAAAATCTAACCCACTTTTCACGCGCCAGTCAACAAATACCGGGCGGCGCTATCATCACTTGGGTGATCAGACCATGATCAGACCAACGAATTGTTTTCTTAGCCCCCAACAATATACATCTAAGTCCATGTTGATTTGATTATATTGATGACATCCTCTGGGAACCCCAAAACTGATGCGAGCGTGCGAATAAAAAAAAGTTTTGCAAAAAAAAAAGTTGCTTTCACTATGAAATCTACGTGGTCATGAAGGTTGAACAAATGGCACAGAATATGTTGTCTACTCTTCGAATTCATTTCTTTACATTTTTGTCTTTTTTTGTTTGATTTTGGCATTCTACGACATTGGTATCGTTTCTAAATGTTTTCCTTGCAACTTATGGTATATTTTTGCTCATTTAGCAACTGTTTTGCACGATTTACAGTATGGTTGAAAACTTTTTTTTTTTTGGAAACGGCCGAAAATTCATGCGCGCGCGGATGTCATCCATATAATCAAATCAACATGGCCTTATGTAAAACAAAGAATACTCTGACCTTTGGTTACAATCAGTTCATTGTATGACGTCCGCACGTGCTTTAAAATCTGCTTTAAAATCTAACCTACTTTTCACGCGCCAGTCAACAAATACCGGGCGGCGCTATCATCACTTGGGTGATCCTTAGACCAAATAACGAATTGTTTTCTTAGCCCCCGACAATACATATATATATATACATCTAAGGCCACACCAAGTAAATGTTATGGATGACGTCCTTTGGAGACCCTAAATCTAATGCAAGAGGGCGAAAGAAAAACAAGTAGGGCCCTAAAAACAAGATGCCTAGATTAGAAATATACTATGAGACGACAAATGTTAGAACACGAATTGATTGAGGTGACACAGTGTAACAAGCAAGAAGTCTTTTATTCATCATCAAAACAGCAATAAATCAGGTGGAACCGTGGACAGTGAAAACAGAATGGTAATAGACACTTTCTTCTACGGGTTTCACGTCAATCTGACGACTTGTGGCACTGTCGTGACTCTTTGGTCATAGTTACAGGAAGCGGAATTTCTTGTTTTTTTTCTAGGAACATGCCAAAATCAATGCGCGCGTGGACGTCATCCATAAAATTTACTTGGTGTGGCCTAATGTAGATCTCTTGCAGAGGTGGTGAATGTCCTATTCCTAATTCCGCTAGATGTCGCTGTGGTAGTGGAAGAGTCCACTACCTCACGACGATGACAAATACAACAAAACTTCTTAACCAAGACATCCCAATGGAGTCTATCGATGTATCTATTATTATCTGATAACATTTATAACGTTAATTTTGATTCAAATTCACCTGCCCATTCTATTCACATGACCATTTAATACAGTGAATGATTTCAGGTTTTTCATACCTATTCCGCTAGTAGAACCGTCCACTAGACAGTCTTTCCCATATTTGGAAATATGCTAATCACACTCCTATATATAGCCCTGTAGTCCTGTCATCTTTCCTTCTACAACTAACACTCACAGGGGTAACCTCACGCTCTCTGAAAGACGAAGCTCAAGCAATAAAAATGGGTTCTGAGAAGAAACTCCCCTACAAAGTTGGTATGTAGAACACTTTTTCTGCACAGGGGTTGATCCACTGACAAAACTATGGCAGTGTTTATCGCTGGTGACATGTTTTTGTCGTGTTTTAGCTCAGCGCAGACGATACTTGAGGTACGTAGAACCGGCGCATGCCGGCTGAACCCGGCGCTAACAAGTTTCCGTATCAAACACGTAAGAGCCTACGTAAACATGCGTGGTAAAGCATACTACAACTAGTTTGTCAGCACAAATCAGTGTATTACAAACAATGCATGTATGTTTAAAGACACTTTTTTATTTAATGGTGCCGATCTGTATAAATAGCAAGTGGCTGTGCACGTGCGTGGGGAGGGGGGCGTGTGTGCGCGCAGGTTTTGTCATGTAACGTTTTTGGATAGAGACCCGCTGCGCATACTAGTATCATCTTGCCTTGTCAGCAAGGCAAATAACCAGTTCACCTAGTTCGGTATGACCTGTAGGGTGATTTTAAGCAGGAGCATGATGTAAAATTGTCTACGTGTCGAAAACTGCACTGTCACTCACTGTCACTCACAGACCACTTTACCAGTAACTGTTACATAACGTTGTATATTTTGTATGATTTCATAAATAAATGCTATGAATTTATATGCTTGGTTGTATGTAAACACCAAATCTATTGAGAAGGAAAGAAGTTTATTTACACTTAACAGTAACGTTACTGCCTCATTTTCCCATGACAATTGTGAAGCATCACATTTTAAGGCTAAATTTTTTTGTTCAGCAAATTTTACATTAGAATGACATGTCATTTTTAATTTGGTGATTTGGGGTCTTGGCCCTTCAGTCCCATGGTGAAAAAAAGTTTTTTTAACAGTTTGGAGCTTCATCAAAATTTTTTGCAAAAAATCTGACATTATAACACTCTACATGAGTGAGGTAATATTAAGAAATATCTTACTCTGACAGCTGACCTCAGCCAGGCCGATTTTGGCCGTAAGGAGATCGAACTGGCGGAGCACGAGATGCCAGGGCTGATGATGATGAGAGCGAAGTATGGCAAAGACAAACCTCTGAAGGGGGCTCGGATCGCTGGCTGCTTACACATGACCATCCAGACCGCTGTTCTCATCGAGACACTGAAGGAACTGGGAGCAGAGGTCAGTTGGCATGAGTTCTCATTGTTAGAACTAAAAATGTGTTTCCGGGTTTCCTGACTGACCCTAGCAAAAACCTGCAAGCCTAGCTTTTTGTCTTGATCGACTGCAGGTAAGGTTATAAAATTTTCGATCTGCGTTCTGACATCTGAATTTCAAACCTTAACTAGTCTGCAGCAGATTATGAATATTAATTAGGTAATATTATTCAAAAGTCACTTTAAAAATAAAATTCACAAGATGACAATGATGTTTTGTACTGGAGATTGAATACATGATACTTTATTGCCTTCTCGCCATCTATTTAGTTTTTTTCTAAGCTTGAAAGCCTTGAGTCCCAATCAGCTAATTTACAGCTTTTCACATATACAGCAACCCAAAATTGTTTGGATGTATTCATATTGCCACAAAGGGTCAGACTCTACAAGTTTTACTGGCTATACAGATACATGTACTTCAATTTCTGGTGATTTATTTTCAAAGGTGACCTGGTCCAGCTGCAACATCTTTTCCACACAAGACCACGCAGCGGCAGCCATGGCGAAGGCGGGCGTGCCGGTGTACGCGTGGAAGGGCGAGACAGACGAGGAGTACATGTGGTGTGTGGAACAGACCATCTACTTCCCCGACGGACAGCCCCTCAACATGATCCTGGACGACGGCGGAGACCTCACCAACCTGGTGCACACCAAGTACCCACAGCTCCTGGAAGGTAATTAGTTATCACTGCTGGGACAGAAGTATTGTTTTGGGTGCACACCAAGTACCCACAGCTGCTGGAAGTTCAGTTGTTACCTTCGCAGAGAAGGTTATGTTTTCAGTACTAGTGTTTGTCTGTCCGTCTGTGAACAGCAGACATGTAAGCATACACTCAAGAAGCTTTATAATATGCCTTGTCATGAAACTTGTACAATGTAGGTAGGTAGGCCTTGATGAGCCTAGAAATGATTAGATTGCTGCATTATTTGACATTCAGTGACTGTTATGTATTGTACTTAAGTCTCAGATACATACTAGCTGTTAAGTGCCTTTCCCAAGGGTCCTGATAATGTAAAATATAGGGCCTGCAAGGGATTTGAACCCAGAACCTTTGGATTCTGAGTCAACAACCCTAACCACAAGACTGCCTTGCCATCTTTTTCTCTAGCTGATGACTGATTTTTTTTTTAACCCACAGGAATCAAGGGTCTGTCTGAGGAGACCACCACAGGTGTTCACAACCTCTACAAGATGATGGCCAAGGGTGAGCTCAAGTGCCCTGCCATCAATGTCAATGACTCAGTTACCAAGGTACGTCTCAATTCAAAATACTTGGAAGTGTGGAAAGATCTTGACCATACTTTTCATAGTTATCATACTAAAGTTTCTCTTCAAATTTTTCTGCAGGTCTTGCAACTCTTTTGACAGCGAGTCTCTTATGTCTTGTGATTTTTGTTAGGTTAATATTTTGTATGAGAATATCAAGATTGTCACTCACTATAGGGTTAAATTGCTCTGTTGTTACCTCCCATGTTTTGATTTGTTTGCTTGTGTCTCTAGATACAGTACTAGTAGTAGGAGTACAAAAAGGAGGGGAGAAATGGTGCAACTGCAGACTGATAGGAATGTCAAATTGAAGTCAAAATGGTTTTGCCACAAGCCGAGAGGAAGTTAGGTCAAAATGGTCGTAGTGCAAGCTAGAGAAACTGACAATGGAGTAAACACAGGGTATTTCGGCGAGAAATTCACAATTATGAATAAAACAACATTCACAACTCAATACTTTTTTTATCCACAGAGCAAGTTTGACAACTTGTACGGCTGCCGCGAGTCTCTGGTTGATGGAATCAAGCGTGCCACAGACATCATGCTGGCAGGCAAAGTGGCCGTTGTCGCTGGTTACGGTGATGTGGGCAAAGGCTCGGCCCAGTCGCTGCGCGCCTTCGGTGCACGGGTCCTCATCACCGAGATCGACCCCATCAACGCACTCCAGGCTGCCATGGAAGGTAGGAAGAAGTATCACTTTCTTTGCTTCTTGTTTGAACCATTCTTTGTTTACACAAATCAGCCTGCAGACTGCTATTTGTTGAGGTCACTAGACTAGAGAAGAGGTAAGGGTTAGACAAAATGTATACAAAAATATTTACGTCAAATTAAATCTATACATATATTTTACACAAACATGGTACAAAAAAGTTAGAGCTTGTATATCCCATATGGGGGTATGCCCGTTCCTTTATTTCTACTTTTCTGTAGGGTTTTGTTTTTGTATCTTTCGTTGTAATTAATTTAACACAATTTTTTGTCATAGTCAGAAAAGCCCTGAATACTTGGTACTGCCCAGAAGTCTGAAATCTTCCATTTGTTGTTTGCTGTCAGGTTACCAGGTGACGACCATGGACGAGGCCTGTAAGCAGGGAAACATCTTTGTCACGGCCACCGGCTGCAAGGACATCATCAAGGCCGAACACTTCCAGCAGATGAAGGAGGACGCCATCGTCTGTAACATCGGACACTTCGACTGCGAGCTGGAGGTCAAGTGGCTGAACGAGAACGCCAAGAAGGACACCATCAAGCCTCAGGTAGCTATATCATCATCATAATGCCTTTGAATTAATTATCCAGTGAGGTACACTTGATAAAGTTACTCCAATACACCCTGGCACTCATAGTGGACACCAGAGCAGTCCCTGTGAGACCAGCGTCTTCCTCTGACATTGACAAAAGTGTAGTATGTGGTCGTCCCACTCTGTCTCCCTGTGGGAAGCCACATTAGCCACAGGTAGCTATTATATAGTTGACTACTAATAGGCAAACCAATTTCAGGGCAGTAAAACTGGATTTTCAAAGTCAATTTACCAAGCTTGTAACAGTTCTATCTGTGAAGTAAAAATACAATGTGGCTGGCAGAAAACCTGTTTACTTTATAAATTCTGTAAGCTAGTTCTAGGTATTTGTTGGTGGTGCCAAAAAATGAAGGGACTCCTTATGCTATATGCACCTTGTTTTGGGCCATTTCAAATGAAATGAGGATGAACAATTTGGAACATGTGCAAAGAATATCTAATATTTCCTTCTCCAGTTTAATTTTTTTTAAGTACTGAATAGTGAGGGAGCCTTGGTCCAGAGGCAGGGTCGCTTATACCACTGGATTACACACACGAGTAACTAATACATTTTGTCTTCCGCCCCGCCTAGGTTGACCGTTACACCCTCCCCAGTGGACGTCACATCATCCTGTTGGCTGAAGGTCGTCTTGTGAACTTGGGCTGTGCCACGGGACACCCCAGCTTTGTCATGAGCAACTCTTTCACCAACCAGGTTCTCGCACAGATCGAACTGTGGACCAAACCAGATCAGTACAAGATCGGAGTCTTCGTGCTGCCAAAGAAGGTAAGTTGTAAAAAAAATAATCCACCAGAATGTGTAATTTTGTAGTCCTGTTCTAGTAATGTTTGTAACATGCATAAATCTGGTTTGATCATTACATTGGGAAGAAGAAACAGTTTCAGATGTTTCAACTGCTTCCCAGCAACCTTCATCAGTGAAAAGAAAGTTTATGATAACTTAAACTTTCACATGAACTTTCTTTTCTTTTCATTGATGATTGCTTAATAGCAGTCAAAATGTCTGAAGTATTTTCCCCAGTTAAATGACTAAATGGAGATTTATAAGTGTTATATTCCTGGATAAATAACTAATAAAATGTAACATTCATAAAAATTTGTCTTTATCCGCTTCACTGAATTTTCTTTTTAAACAAAAATGTATTTCGAATGATTCACAAGTTACAATTTGTGTGCACTGCAGTCACAGTACTGAATGTGGCATATTGTTGTTGCTAGGGTATTTACTGGTATATTATAATGATAAACGTAAAATGGTAAAATACTAGGTAAAGACCAAATGAAATGTTTGTATTTTAGCTGGATGAAGAGGTTGCAGAGGCACATCTGGAACAGCTCGGTGTGAAACTGACCAAACTGTCTGACGACCAGGCTGGCTATCTGGGCATCCCCAAGGAGGGCCCCTACAAACCTGACTTCTACCGTTACTAGTTCTACGGACAGTAGCTATACAGAACATACTGTAACTGTGTAGAGGCAAACATGTTAGCAAACATGATCATGTTGGCACATTGATGTCCCTCGGAGAGTGTATCACTCAACAGAAATAAACCCAAGGAATTGTGTTCACATGTACATTCGTGTTGCTCTCGTTATTTACTTACTCAGACTTAGGAGCTCCCGTGTCTTGTGACGCATGAGGTAGTCAATGTAGTCCAGCTTTGTCAGCAGCCAGCCTCAAGGCTTCTTTCCAGCTCTTATTCACTGCTTGGAGGTCTCTTTGGACATCCTTCTTCTCCGTCCTTTTGGGCACTACTAGTAGTAGGTAGTACCTGTTTGGCGAATCTGCCGGGTGGGAGTCTGACAGCATGTCCTAACCAGCTGAGATGGCATTATTTCCTCCAACATACAAAATGATACCAGTGCAGTATCATTTCTCTGTAGTTTCAAAACCTAAGGAACTTCTATGAAAACGAACAGGTGAGACTGAAGCAAGACAGATGTGGAAGCCATCAGTGCTTTATTTACACAGGACAGATGTTGTAAGTCTATATTAACCCTGGTTTATGGCACATACTTAAATTGTGACAGTCTTCCAACAGGAAGGATAAAACACTGCATTTTCTTTTAAGTCAGAAACACGTATAGCATATAGATACTGTGGCTTTATCATCTTTGATATGACTTTTGAAACCCTTAAGTAACAACTTTTAAACTGACGGTTTACACCTTTAATAACCTAAATGGCACAATCCATGCCAGTAACTGGAATTAACTTAAAAAAGTAGTGAAAATGAATGCAGGAATCACATTAAGTCTTGTGACAGATATAGTCTAGTTTCGAATAATACAATCTGAAATATAGATATCAAGAGCAATGCAGTCAGATCAGTGTTTTTCCACAATTACCACAAATGATATGTCCAGGACAATACAATCTATCATATATTCATATGGTATATCACAACTATACTCTATTTTAACAGCACCTTGGCAGAATGTACTGCAGCTGCGTGAAAACCATAAATGTATTGTGCATAGCACTTCAGCAGAATGTCTCGTTTAAGGTCCTATTCACGTACATGTATTTAAGTATAACATCGCGTTTATAGTTTTCAAATGAGTCAGAAAAGATATCTGCAACAGGCAAAATTCTGATGCAATGTTCACCAAACATCCAACAAAAACTGAAAAATCTGGGGTCTGCACAGGTGTAGTACATGTACATTCTGTTTGCGTGCTTGTTTCAACTGACTAAGGAAAGCCCACTAAGTACAACTGCACTCATACAGTGCAATTGTCTGAGTTCATGGCTTCTTCCCTACTCTATGGATATTTCCGGTTCGGAGCCTCTGAAGTACTTTTGTTGTGTGGGTCTGTTTCGCCTTCTCCAACTTGTCCTTGTCGACTCCAAACGCTCGCCCCAAGAACATGTCAATTTCTGGTTGATCAATTTCAGGATCAGCAGTTAAGAAGGCCTTTCTGACATCTTCTACCACCACATCACTGGAATTATAACAAAGAAAGAACATTATAAGTAAGTTTTGAAATAGGATAATGCCACAAAACTACATACACGTTTATACAAGGTCAAGATCTGCCCCTGAAAGCTGAAACACTTCATTTTCTATATGACAGCAACTGAATTGAAAGAAGTGTACATTTCGCAGCTTCAGTAATCTGTCTGTACTCTTCAGTACATTCTTGAGGAGGCCTTGATACATGTTGTAATATTAACACCTTTTGGTAGTCTTAGATTTTGTGTACCCAATGGAATTATGGGAGACATTGCAAGAAGACTTTTTGAATTAGTATATTGACTGACCTACATTGTATCATCACAGTAATGCACACAGCATGAGCAACACAAGCCAGCAAACTCACCTAACGTCCCCTAAAGCAGCCTGTATATCATCCACATACGCCTCTCTCTCTGACTTGGTCTGGTCACGAAGTCTGTTGATGAACGGGCCTGTTCTTCCCTCATCATCCTGCAACAGTTTATATCAGTCAGCTACTGAACCATTCAAATGTCACAAATAAACTTCTAGGTTCAGTTTAAGAACCAGCTGCTTGGGCTGATATGAAGATATTTTCAGGACACAATTTTTAAATCTTTCTGAAGCATTCATTATAATTTTGAGAGTCATCATAGAAATAAAATCGTCATCTTAAGCCCTTGGGTTGAAGGCTGTTAAAAAAAATCAACCATTGTGTACCGTTATTCTCAGTGATATGGTTTGTCCAAAGATAGACAAGTTTCTGTTTCGATAAATTTCCATTCAAGAATGCTATAGAAAAGATGTATAGTATTAATGGTACGTGTCTTTTGCAAAAGTCAATCAGAGATTAAAAGAGCCCACAATTGCTAGCCATTGTCAATACACTGCCAGTGCATCAGGTTGTACATTTACTACATTGTCGTACCTCAGTGAAGAGTTGTTTGAAGGGTATGGGTCCTCCCTGTGTGTCCAGTTCATCCTCAGCAGCCTGGACCAGGACCTGGACAGACTCCGGCTCCTTCAGTGGGAAGAACTCGACTAACCCGGCAGAAAACTCCTCCTTTGGTAGATTTCCCTGCAAAGCATTCATGTGTAAGTATGTAATGTTTTTGTCCAGCATTTTTATGTCTCCATGTAACATTTATGTTGGTACAGAAGATACTTCAGAAAACAAATTCTTATCGGGCCTCTTTGTTTCTTTTTCAGTCTACAACTGTGTTTGCTTACTCTCCAAGCAGGCATTTAGGATAAGGCTTGTTTTAGACGTGTTGCAGGCCTTTTTGTACTAGTTGTCCCTTTAAATAATATTAGGCCAACCTCCAGTGACAGGTGGTAACCTGGCCAATAGACACTCCCTGGCAACATTGGATACTGCCTGGCAAATGGATACAGTAACTACCCCAGCCCTACTGATACTGTCTTTGAAGCCAAGATTTGCCTGCAGACATGTAAAGATGTTCTGTCCCACCTGTGTACCCAGGGTGACGTCCTTCTGAGCGAAGTGACTCAGCAGGCGAGACAGGACATCAATCTGCTGGTGGTAGATCCCCTCGTCTGTCTGTAGAATCACAATTCCGGGAGTTACTTCACACCAACATGCTACACGTGTACAATGTAATGCTACATACTCATTGACAAGCACATCATCAGAACGCACTGCACCAGTGCAAAACCCTGATTTTTCACGGTATTCGTTGGATGTTTGGTCAACGACGATATCTTTTCTGGTACAACATTTGAAAACTACATTGTACAGATGGGCTGTCATTCTTTAATTTGCGAATACGACCTTAAACAAGACGTCTGACGAAGTGCTATGCACAATACATACTAATATATTTTACATGTGATGATGTAAATCACCATGTGGCTAATACAAGAAGGAGGCTCCTTATTAAGTTAATCCAACAATTTCATGTCTAAGCCTTTGGAAAGCTCCTATGATTGAAAGTTTATCCCGAAAACAAAATCAATGTGAACGTTTCAAGATCGACATCAATCTTTGAACTCACTTCCCCCTTGAGTATGCTGAAGAACAGGTTGATGCTGTTCTCTGATTGGTGGAAGCGTGTGCAGGCGTCGTGGATGTTGTAGCCCCACTCAGCCACCAGCGGCTCCAGGTTAAACCGCTTCTCCAGGTACATCAGCAGGTAGTTCTCCAGCTTCGTGGGTTTCGCTTTCTACGAAAAAAACCCAAATCAGCTATGTCAAACTTTTGGAAAGTAGATACCATTTATATTAATTTTGATTAAATATGTCATAGAATGGATTATCACTTGTAAGATTGTATGACGTAACTAACAACACTATTACACCATATTTCATAACATGATTACACAGCACACATTTCTGCTTTCTAACAAACAGTAACTGTTGTAAACAATTTTGCTATTACACGTAGACTGTCACATGCTGATTACTGTCTGTCAAAGATGACGGATTGGGCAAAGTTTTTGTCTGTTGTTAACTCCAAAAATTCTGTCAGATTATGAAAAGAGGGATGCTGGCTGAGATTTTTAAATCTCTACATGTATACAAGTGTTCAGCCAGCATCCCTCTTTTCGTCATCTGACAGAATTTTAAAAACTTATTCACTCACCCCTGCATCGTGTGCTGCCTTCTCTCTCCACACATCCTTGATGACGATGGCCAGGTCACGTTTCGCTAGCTTCCTGTTACGGACTTGTCCTTCGTAGCGCAGGTAAGCCGGTACATCCGGCTTGAAACCCTGAAGAGGAGATAAACAAGAGAATCTAATGTAAAATATTATTTTTTTCATGTTCCTTTGATTCAGATGTATATAACATGTTTGTGTGGCATTACATGGACATCAAGAGACTTGGAGACTGCTAATTTTTGCTGCAACAATGTCATGTACTCACCCTTCCTTCAAAGAACTCGGGAATGTCCTTGTCACTTGCAGCATCTTTCATGGTCTGTAGTTCCTGCAGGAGGATGTCCATCTTCTGGTCGCTGGTGCTCTCCTTGGTCAGCTCTGCCCAGCGCTCAGACCCTCCGTCCACCACCTCTCCACACTTGTCCCAGTCAGGTCTGGTGATCAAGACAAGAATTATGATGTTTGATTACTGTTGTTGCTGTTATCTTGATGATGGTTATACATCCACCAGACAGAACGTGGATGTGTAATCATCATCGGTCCTCCTCTTCAAAATTTCAAACATTGCATATTTATACAACATTTTGTATTAAATAGATTAAGCAGCTGGAATAGTTTTCTGAAGAGTCGAACATTTTAAACAGCACCCTTTCATCACTTTCACCAGTGATGGCAGGTGTACCGAATTGATTGATGCATTCCATGGTGAAAGGCTAGTATATTAGTGTCAGAATAGCCTATAAGTTCATCACCGTATCAATGAACTCCATGGCTAGAGAAAGAGTGAACTGAAGACTGAACAGGGCCTACCTGGGCGTGGCACTCCGTCTGAGTGTCTCTGACTGGGTGTAGAACTCGTCTCTCTGTTGGAGGACCTGTTTGTGCACCTCCAGCAACGTACTGTACAGGGAAAAGGACAGGAGCAGTGGTCAGGGGGTTAGACTGTAAATAAGGTACTGCACAGGAACAATGGACAGGTGGGGTTGACTTACTATCAATTGCAAACTTCTATCAGTCCTATGCAATGTATATTACTGGTAATATACATCTTCAGCAATGCAATGTTATGAACTTAGGCTGATGTGAAAATTACAAACAAATGATTACTTTTGTGCAAACAAGATTCCTGTAAATAATTTCAAATACATCTCAGGAGGAGATAATCCCTACAGTTACTGGTAAAATAAGGAAATACATACTCTCATGTACATTCATTTAGAGATTGCATACATGTACATGTATTTAGTTAAATGTTCAATCATAGTAAGTAGACCATACAAAAGTCCCTGTACTTTTGTTGAATCCTGTCCTATGCAGGTGGAACTTCATAGTTACATTGTAATACAAATACTGTGTCTATAAAGTGAAGACCTACTCGTGTTCCTGCTGTAGTTTGCTGAACTGGTCGCGCAGAACTCCCTCTGTCTCCAGAAGGGCGTTGTGTTTGGCCTCCAGCATCTCAAAGTCTCTCCTGGGAACAACATCGCCGTAGTCTGCCTTCATTCTGATCAGCTCCTCCGACATTTTCTTCAGGTCTACACGTGCTTGCCTGAAGAGGGAAAAAACATTCCGGGCTATAATTTAGCAGTCCTGTTATAAAGGGCAGCTAAAGATATGACTACAAAATTTCAGTAGAATGTACTGTGCCTATACACGAATCCCGGATTTTCATGGTTTATTGAATGATATTTTATTATCTGATTATTGCATCAGAAGTTTGCCTGTTGCAGGAAGACTATCTTTTCCAATACATACGAAAACTATAGACATCATGTCATATCCTTGAATATGTCAGGTCAGTCTGGATTTGTCTATTACATTTAGGCCACAGTAATTTATGAATGACATCCTCTAAAGACCCCCAAACTAGTGCACGCGGGTTGACACTGCACTGTGCCAAGTTCTTGAGTTCCATAGAGTTTCGGCAGCCTGGTTGCCATCCTCTGTAGTTACTGCCGGCTCCCTACTGTCGCTCAATGTGGACTACGGAGGATAGCATCAAGCCTCGTTGGAGTTTTTTTTTTTAGAATAGGCAAAAATCAATACCCGCGCGGATGTCATCCATATTATTGAATCAGTATGGCCTTAGATAAGTACAGGATTGTTCAAACATACTTGAGAGCGACCCTCATCATGACGGGGTCGTCCTGCGGGTCCCCCACGCTGCCGGCTGACGCAGCCTTCTGCAGGTCCTCCGCCTGGTACCGCAGGTCGTTAATGTCTGACACGAGAAGCTTCCTCGCGTCGCACTCGTCACGATAGCGCAGGTACTGCTCCGACAGTTCCTCTCGCAACTGGAGACAAAGAATGAAGACAAGAAATCAGATTCAGAGGTTTTAAACATCTCAGTAGCACTCGGTTCATGTAGATATGATTTGGATGTAATGAATTACATCATGGAATGCATTTATTTTTTTCTGACAATTATGATCACATCATTGAATAATCTAATTAGAATAGTAACAGAGAAAAGGGCAATAAAATCTGTCAGAGATTTCAAAGTTTCAAGAGGTACAATGTGTAAGAACCATCTGATACTACATGTAGTTTGCCTCAAATGAATTCAGACATCTGATTCGTAAATTAGCACCACCAAAACAATACTTCTTTCCAGGGTCTTATGATAAGTCAGACCATTGAACTATTTCTTATAGTATTAAAATCATTTATCATATTAAATGATTTGACCAATTTGATACAATCTACATGTATATCCTTCAAGGCTCACTTCAAGGCTCTTTTACAGGTTATGTTAAAAACAAACAAGTCCAATAAATGTTGTGAGAGCAAAAGGATCTTTCAAGTCTGAATGATTTTCCTATTAAGGAAGTGGCTGCAGATTACTTGGCATTATGAATAGCTGAAGAGCCTACCTTGTTAACTTGTGCCTGTAGGTTTTGCTGCTGTTCACTCATCCCCATAATCTTCCGGTACAGGCCTGTATTCTCTCTCCTTAAATCCACCATTTCTGCAACACATCAAAACACAATCAATTGATTTTACACCACTATGATTGAGAGATATATGAGGAACTTGATGTTTCATTCATGAATCATAATTGTGAATTTCTTGCCGATTCAAATTCCACTGAAATAATGTGATGCATCACAGTCACCTGAAAGTTGCATTTTTACAACTGACAGACATAAAACTCTGACATGTTGATAAAGAGTTGAAAAAGATTTATAACCCTTACCTTGTTTCTCCTGCTCTCGAATCTTGAGGATCTTCTGGTCACACTGCTCTGAAACTGTCACCAACATGGACTACACAAAAAGGGAGACAAAATTCAGATTTTAAAGGTGCAGAAGTCAACATTGTATACATAACATACACCAACTGACTTCAATGAACCATTCTATACCTCAGTGAAATACATCTACATATAATTTAAGTTGTTTTGAATTCCATGTAGCAGGAATCATGACTTCCTCCCAACCAGCAGAGAGACCTTGACCTTGACATACAACCTGACCTTCTTGTGGCACACAACTTGACCTTCTTATCAGTCTGTGGTTACATCATTCCCCCTTACTTCCTGTGACTCCACAGTTTTCAAATTTCTATGAACACACAAGCAAACAGACACACAGATAAAAAATTATTTCAAGCTTCACCGTACCTTAAGTGGCTCCAGGTCCCTTATCTGTTGTCTGAGGTGAGCGAGCATTGTTTCATACTCATTCTTGATGGATGACAGCAGTGGCTTGTAGGTCTTAAAGTCTTCAATCAAATACTCAAAGACTTCACGGTGCGCCTGTTCAACAAGTCAGATGGTAAAACAATTTGGTCACAGCCTTGTCTGAGGTGAAGCTTTAGGTCTATAATGTTATACATTACAGGGTAGATATGTATTGGTGCCAGCATAGATTTCTCATTTATAATTTTTTAAAGTCATGTTGATCACCAAATATGTTTTGAACAAGGAACACTGATTTGAGTATTTTCATAGACTATTGAACAAACATACCTGTAACCGTAGCTCACTGGGTCCAGAGTCAGGACAGCCCAGTGCTCGCAGTTCCTTCTTTAGAAAGTTCTCCAGCTGGTCCAGGAACTTGGGTTTGGGGACGCCCTTCCCAGTGTCCTCCTCCTTCACCACAGGTTTCCTGCTGCTGTAGGACTTGACGGAGGCGCCGGCGTGCGGCACGAGTGCGGTGCTGGAGGTGGTCTGTCCCGCCGCGTGGGCCGGCCAGGCGTCCAGCGCACCCGACCTGGTGTCTACGTAGGGCTGGGGGAGTGGTCAACACATTTGTCGTTAATAACTATAAGGACATTCCTGACTGTCCATCACAAATGTTATTTATTGCATGCCCCAAAATACTTAGTTTTTTAAGACTTAATTAAGACTTTAAGGGTAGAATAAGATATTTATGTAAATATATATATATATATTATGTGCAGCTTTTGAAGCAAGGAAAGATCAGTTGACAAATTAAACACATAGGACTCTTTAGGAAGTTTAATGAAGCAACAAGAAATCTTACCTGGAGGACACCTGGGGACGGCAGGCTGTACTTGGAACCGGTTGAAACCAGCTGGTAGGACGGTCCCGTCAGGCCCTCGTACCCTTTCATTGCTCGCGGAGACATGTCACTGCAAGAAATAATTTATTAGTAATGGTTTTTGCTTGTAAAAAAAGGGCCATTCTACTTGTCATATCAGTAATTAGGATGTAGAAGGACTTGATTGGAAGATCTAATTGAAAGGAGCAATGTTTGGGGGGAAGTAATAGTAGATAACCAGGGCTCAAAATACTCCTAGAGATTAAGACTTTTTTTATGTCTGCACTGACCCAGTGCAAGTAAGCATTGGAAATTATAACATACGCTTGACAAATTTTACCTGTGCTAAAATGAAAAACGGTTAAGAAAACATTTGAATTCTTTATCTGGTATTTGACAGCACATATTTTGCTTCACTGTTCAGGTAACAACTCAAATTTGCAATACAACAAACAAAACTAAATTGTCCTTGGTTTGAACTAAAGCATATCAATCTCTGCATGTGACTATGAAGCATTGCACTTCATTGATCTATAACGTTAATTTATTTATGGTTAACACATTAAATTATTCAATAGTGCAATGAGAACATTCTGAAGGTGTAGATTGGATTAAATTAGGCACAATGGATCATCTTATTATCATAACAAATGTTCATAAAAGTGCTTAATGTTTTGGCCAACACATTATAACTAGAGCCGGATGTTTTATGCACTAACTTGTGCGTAACGTAACGCCGTATGCTTGGATGGTTTTGCATGTTAAATATTAAACGTCTACATTAGTCTAATGTTTCTGATATTAGTCATAAAGTGTCACTATATCAAAATCGTTAGAATTTTTTTTTCCTAATGAGAATTGATTATTGCGAAGATAGCGTAACTCGGGTAACATTACGGCAACGTTATACAAATGAGCGAAAGTGCTCTGTTTATGTCAAACAGCAACATACACATGTAAACATGGCCACCGTAAAATATTCCTATCACGGATGCTGATTTGAACGGATTTTACCTCGCTCCGACTGCAAGAGGCGGCAACTTGGCGACTCGCTGCGCGGCCATTGTCGCTCTTTATCCTCCCGGCCAACGGCAGAGGGAATCCTTGGCTTGGGAAAAAGTTAGTGTACCTCAAAATAAGGCCTAACACGTTTCTTGTTGACACTGGGAGAACTGGTCTGGGCTTTGTCATGGGCGTCACGACGGTTGCCTGGATACAGGGCCACCGTCCCAGGGTGCATTGCGCGCCTGGAGTAAATGGGGACCGTGAATCGCGGTCGGAACATTCGATTCATCTGAAGTAAACATAGGGTGTAATTCGTCGTCAGGGCATTCGTTTGTCACACTTTTTGCGGGATTTCGGTATTTCTACGCATAAATGTAGATTTTAAGCTGCTGAAATGTGATGGTAAAAGCATAGAGCTGAAAGTTATTTTTGATATAGTAAAAAGTAGGCGCGTCAGTGAGGACCTCTAGCAGTCCATGATAATATTGCAGCTGAAACTGCTAACTAGATGTATAATTAAGTTTTGATCCATACATGGAGTTAAAAGTTCAGAATATACAAACACGTCCTTGGTGCTACATTTGCTTGTCAGGTGTAAGTGTAATAACTTAGCTAAAAATTTGTAAACATTCATGCTTAAAATAAACCTGACATATCATATGCAAAGTTATGGGACAAAAACCATTTACTCACTTGATTGCTTTATTTTTTACCTGCAAGTTGAGCATATAGAAAACCCCTACTACAAAATATGGTACCTACTACCTACACTTTTAATGCACAAAAGGTTTTTATTTCAAAATATGTGGCACATGTACATTCCACTTTATAAAATGTTTATAATTGGGTATACATGATTGCAAATAGCATGGCACCCAGGCTAAATAATTGGTAGTGAAACCAATAAAAAATCTGCTCATGTTTTCCAAAAGTTTGGGTTTTGCGCCAGTCTTCTCTGAAAGTTATCAAACCATTGCTGAAGGACGTTCAAGGGCACAAAAGATTTGTTCGGCTCAGGGACCATTTGAGCCTGAGTCAGTGCGAAGGATGAGGCATAGTTGTGGAAACTCTCCAACATCTTCCTGGTGAACTCCTGGAAGGCTGTGACAGTAGATGGAGTGGTGCTAGACGGAGGTGTCTGTTGGGTGACCTGGGCTGCCGGCTCCACAGAAATGCCGATTTGAGCCATTTTCTGCTGTCCTGGCATCAGCTGGCCAAACACATTATTGGAAGTCTCCTCCCCTGCATTATTTACACAATGCAAAAAAAAAAACTTCATTGTATGAATTCTTGTCATGAAAAGTGGCTGTGAAATCCTATGAACTTTGAAACAAACTTTTCTTTCAGAAAAACATGTTTCTTTTTTCAATTTCTGTAGAAAAATATTATACATTTAAGATCAACCTAATACAAGGTAATATGATTATCATTATTATTGTTATCTATAATGTCCTAATTTGTTACTCATTCATAAATTGCCTCAATAAGGTTACCGGTTGTACCATTACTAAGTAACACTGAGAAGGTTTGATAATATAGCAATCTAACAGGCTGAAGTACAGTAATAATATTTTCGTAATACTAACAATCCTAATTTCAGTCAAGTATTGACTTTAAGAGCCTCACACTATGTGACAATAATGCATCTAAGTAGCAGTAGTTTTTTGTTTGCTTGTTTCTTTATTTACCTGGCTTGATCTTTGCAACCTTAAAAATTGCACTTGGTTTGTCGTTTGCGATGTATCCGAGATACTGCCACGCCATGCCGTCAGGGTTAGGATAGCCGAAGTACACGGCTCCGCACAGGCCGTCAGGGAAGGGGGTAGTTCCCGTCAGGAAGATAACGATGTGGTTTATACTGTCAGCATCAGACAGCGTGAACACAAACTGTGTCTCACTCATCTGCTGTGGATCCGTTTGAACCTGGGAATGATATATTGATAATTAATCATTAATAATCTGCAAATGATATTGATAATCGATCAATTGATTCAGTAGACACCTGATTTATGGATCACTGATTTGTCACAGTGAATGACTGATCATCCACAACATTGAACTGCAAAGGCCTTTTTTCATTTACAATTGCTAACGTTAGTATAATATAATTATTTATTATACATACATAGTATATGTAACTGGAAGTTAGTAGCATTGGTAATCATTTAGTCATTACTAGGTAACTAGTAACTTAAAGCCGGGATGTCTATATATATTATTCATGTTATTACATTGTATTATGATATACTGTAGTTTTAGTACCTGAAAAAAATGTGTTTTGTACATGCCCCCCTCCCCCCTGTTGCAGTATGTCAGCACTTACTGAATCGAGCCATTAAGATTAACACCCTACAGTTAAGTCACTCCTGTTACCTACCAATCTTCCTGCTACGATGCATCCAAACATCGTTATTGGTGGTGACTCTTCAACATTCCAAACAATAACAACATTGCCTGCTGCACAACAACTCAATAACAACAGGGAAAACACCCCTACGCATTAATGGTACATTCCATATCACACCATCTCATAACATCCAAATGTAACCAGTTATTTTAAGAGCAAAAAAAGTGTTTTATTACAGTAAAAAGGCTATGTAGCCGAATTTTACGAATCCGTTGAAATATATAGGTTTTTATCGGATTGTTTGATCAATGTATTGAGGTAAATCGTCCTTAAAAGGATTACAGCATCTTTACGTTTTGTTGCGAATGACATTTTTTGACACTTCCCAAATTTCCAAGATGGCAGCGTCTGAAGGTGGAGTTGCCGCCGATCCCAGTTATATCCAGCAAAATTCCATGCCTGAAGATGATCCGAACAAAAATGAGCAGCCTCTGTCGGTGGAAGGGAACCAACCGCGCTGGGGGCCCCAACATGCCGGTGCTAAGGAGCTCGCCAATCTGTATTCGGGCGGTAAGAACAGCACTGGGCGTCTTATGCAACTTCGAAAAATTTATAATTTTTCAGGGCTCGAAATCTTTTTCCTCGGCATACATTTAAATACAACAATTGTAAATGTAAGGGTAATTTACCTGCATCAGACGAATCTAACCTGCACCACTCTGAATTTAGGAAGATCATACAAATAACTGCCTCTGTGATCAATATTATTAACATTTGGTACAACCACTTGGTACAACTATATGACACAAGTATAATTTAGTACTTGAGTTGAGGTTTAGGATCCACATTGACAGTGACTCTTCTTGATGTACTGATTTTGTCTATTTTTGCCCTCAGGGAAGCGACTACAAGAGATCCTTAGTGTCGGGATGTGCTTCCCCCTGTTAGCTGCCACATTTGGCTTTCTGTGCTACCATTTTCAGTGGGACAACTCTCTCGCTATCCTTCTATCTGCAGGTAAGAAATTAGTATGTACATTGTAATTTGTGATAGGATCAGTGTGTTGACTGGATTTAGCAGTCTGACAGTTATGTGTAGAGATGAAATGAATGACTCCTTGCTGTGTCTCCAGTGGCAGGGATTGTGACAGCAGACTTCTTCTCTGGCCTGGTACACTGGGGAGCTGACACCTGGGGGTCAATAGATGTACCAGTGGTGGGCAAGGTTGGTATTATCTGTATCACCAGTATAACCGCCCTCCGGCATAGCACATCAGCTTCTGTATCTGTATATCACTGGTAAGACCGCCTCTCGGTGTAACACGCCAGCTTCTGAATAGATCTGTATTACCAGTATCACCTTTCAATTCAATATAGTATATGATCGCTTTGACTGTAGGAAAAAGGAAGAAAAAACCTAACCCCTCTCTCTGTTTTTGAAAGTTGTGGAGGACTGTTTAGACTGCCAACTTGACAATCTACAGTTACACATCCCCCATCCTGCCACTTTGAAGGCCTACCAACACACAAGCACACATGCTCAGACACAAATACAAGAAAATGTTGTACAAAATTTTTAATGTGTGTTTTTTTTTTCCTTCCCTTACGTAGAATTTCCTCCGTCCCTTCCGAGAACACCACATCGACCCGACAGCGATCACTCGCCACGACTTCATCGAAACCAACGGCGACAACTGCCTTCTTACCGTCCTGCCTCTAGCTTACCAAGTCTACAAGTAAGAAGTCTAGAATCAAGTTTTTACCTCCATGAAAACAGGAGGTACCGGTATTGTTTTTTATACGCCAGTGTCTGTGTCTATGCTTCCGCCCCTAGAAAATTTTGTGATGGATATGGTTTGGATTCAGTATGGAGCAGGCAAAATATATGTAGGGGATGTAAATCTGCAAAATAATGGAGAGTTGAGGTCCTGGGCTAGGGTGGGCAGGCCTCCAGCCTGGCACAAAACAACTCAACAGTGGGAGCCATCACAACTGTGCCATACGGGCCATTTCATTGGCAAATGGTATGGGGGGAAAAGAGTATTTCATTTTGTTTGTGTCTGCTCCAGCGTTTCTGATTTGGAATTTGGATCATGGTGTGTTTCAGGTTTGTAACCCTGAGCCCCTTAGAGATCCACAACTCGTACATGTGGGAGTGCTTCATCTTCTTCGTAGCCTTCTTCGTGATGCTGACCAACCAAATCCACAAGTGGTCGCACACGTACTTCGGGCTGCCGCGGTGGGTGACGTTCCTGCAGGACTACCACCTCATCCTGCCGCGAAAACACCACCGCATCCACCACGTCTCACCACACGAGACATACTACTGTATAACAACAGGTGTGGAGCCAAGTTATTGTAGCTAGTGCTGTGTACTGGTCCGCTGGACCAGTTCCGGATTTGTAAAAATGTTTAGGTTCAAGTCCAAAAAAAACTAAAAGTCAAGAACCAATTCCAGACTTATTACAAAAAACCCATGTCAGAAAAAAAACTAAACCCCTTTTCTTTCCAAACCTAAAAACCTTCCATAGATTGCAAAATCTGGGCTGCAAAAAACATTGCATGCCATCGGCCATCGTCAAGTGTCGGCCTCCATGTTATGTAGCCAAAGGTTGCCAACATGCAATTTTGTATATGCCATGGGTTTAGGTCTCTACTTGTGCCACTAACATCAGTCTCCAACTCTGTGTTTTCCAGGATGGGTGAACTATCCTCTGGAGATGGTAAACTTCTGGTGTCGCCTGGAAGAGCTCATTACAGCAGTGACGGGGGCCAAGCCGCGGGCTGACGACATGATGTGGGCTAAGAAATCCGACTAACGTACGATAGGTTGTCGTCCATAACGTCCCTATCTCTTCTGCATTCTACATTCTACATAATAACATTCTACCAAACTTTGTATCAAGCTATAGTGAGTGGATTAATAACAGGTGTCATCGCAAGCCTGTAGTGATAGATCTAAAATTTCTTTTACATACAGGCTTCACAATAGGCCACACCCCTGAGGCTTTGCCAAAAATGTTGTATCTTGAAGTGTTAATGGTGAAGTACTACATGTAGTATGGTGTGTGTGTTTGCCTTGTCAATCATCTGAAATCTTGCTATGCAGTGCTTCAGAAGACATGGGGAATGTTGTGGACTAGGGCTGCGTACCGGTACAGGGTACCGGTATTTTAGAAATTATTTAGGTACAGGTCCAAAATCCTAGAACATCAATGTACCAATACTTTACCTGAATAGACCTGCAGGTATATAGAGTGTATATGGCTTATCTGACTTGTTCTGTTGCTAAAAATGTGTTACTAATTACTACCAAAAAGAATTTAATTTAGCACTGAAAAAAGGAATATTTTCAATATCTTTATTCCTCTCAAAATCATGAATTCTCTGCATAATAATCTAAATCATTTTTCTGTATATTCGTGTTTCTTTCACTGTTGAAGACCACAGTACTTTTTCAAATTGTTCAGGTACAGGTACAGGTCCAGACCTGACTGCTAGTACCTAAACCTCTGTAATGGTACCTGTTTCTGATGTTACATGTAGGTCCAGACCTGCACCTAAACCTCTACCTTTACCTACATTGTATATCTGATATTACCTTTAGGTCTGGGCCTGTACCTAAACCTCTTTACCGGTACCTGATCCAGACCTGTACATAAACCTCTGTATCGGTGCGTGTACCTAATGTTACATTTAGGCTGGACATGTACCTAAACCTCTACCAGTACCTGATGTTACATTCAGGTACGCAGCCCTACCGTGGACAATGTTATAAACAGCCTACATGTATAGCTGCTACCCTTACCAAATAATGCCTTGTCACTCGGCTGCACTTTATATATGCAAATTGTACCAACTGTAACTAAACTGAATGCTTCACTGTCATTGCAGTCTCTGCTTGTGATGAGTCAAAGAACTCAATTCAACAAAATGCTAGAAAACAAAGTCTACAATTTTACTTGTGGCTTCAAGGTCATCAGATACTCAATATACTTTTGTAAATTTGTCCTACTTTATAGCTGCCCAGAAATCTAAGTAGTCAATCTATTTCAAGTTGAGATTATTCTTAATTGCAAATTGAAATCTCTTATAATTGTCAGATGCAATTTATGCCATAGAAACAGGAAGGAGACCCTTCATTGTATTGTAACAAAATTACGTACAAAAAAGGATTGTATGTAATTTGCTTTGAAATAATATTCTATTTATATTTCACACCATGCCACAGGACTGGTATGGGAAGAAAATATGAAATTATTTCTATTTCTAGGTTTATTTTGTACATCTGTAAAATTCTTTGTCTTTTTACCCAGTTTTAAATGTGTTTCTTCAAATTGTGGGGTGTATGGGTGGGTATTTTGAGCTCTGACATTGCTGCTGCAAGTTTGCCTTCCTTGCAATACATATGATGGTGCTCAGACTTACATGTATCATGGAACTTATAAGTTCTATAATTGTTTTAAAAAAATTATGTTGATTTGGCTCCTGCATGATTTTATGTATATTTACCCCCTGTATGGAGGGTTATTGCGGTGTGTTTGCTTGTTTTTCCGTAGCTAGGCTTTTGGATGTTAAGTCAAAGGTCCCAGATAATGTTATCTCATTTCCTGCTATTTACTTGTCTGTTGCCTTCTGGGAGCCAGTGAGATAATGGCATATTATCAGAGAGAACATCACAATTATACTGAATAAAGCAAAACAGTCACAAAAATATTTCATGGATTCAAAGTTGTGAGATCTTCAATTTTTTACTTCCTCTCCAAAGCTTGTAATAGAATGGCCGTAGCTCTTGATGGGCCAATTGTAGCACATCCCAATCTACATTGTAATATGTATGTCAGAGTATCTACCATGTGAAAGTATCTGCAATTTTTCTATTCAATTTCAATGTTTTCGTTTATTAAGTTATTATTATTAAAATAACGAACTACAGGCAGTTTGATGTGTGTATTTCTTTTTCTATAATATACTTCCATAAGGACCATACACTCAAGTTCTGCCAGGTGGTATCAATCATATGGTACAATGAAAAATCAACACCACAGAGACTGCAGATATTCTGTATATGACTCAATTCCATCAATGATTTGAGAATAGAAGTTACATTACAGTTCACATTCAAATCCTTTCTTAGTTGACATCTCAGGGCTTGGAATACTTGGTGCATGTACATTTGTACATGTACATGCAATTTTGTGCACCAAAATTTGGGACTGTGCACTTAATTTCAAGCTAGTGTTCTGACTAGTTAACATGTCTTCTGTAGCACCGTAAGTCCCCACTGTTTGTTCTGACTAGTTAACATGTCTTCTGTAGCACCGTAAGTCCCCACTGTTTGTTCTGACTAGTTAAAATGTCTTCTGTAGCTCTGTAAGTCCCCACTGTTTGTTCTGACTAGTTAACATGTCTTCTGTAGCTCCGTCAGTCCCCACTGTTTGTTCTGGATAGCCTCCTGTAGTTGTCCATACTCCTGTACCAGACTGTCAAAGCCCATCCCTACAGATCTGTAGGCCTGCAGCTGTTGCACACTCTGGGTGTACTCACTGTCGTAAGGAGTGGGGTCTAGATGTCTCCTAGATGCATGGAGAAAGAACCATTGAGTTTCATGGGCGCTAAGATTAGAATATACATTGTACAATGTAGTTATTTTATACTGTACACTTAAAACCGGTGCCCTCATATTTGAAACGGGTGTCATTTTCTGAATAAATATTTACACAAAATATCCCACAGGAGTTAATATTTAGGGTTACGTTGATGAAGGTTAGACATCCAGGTAAACGATACTCGTAAGAAAATTCAAACTCTACTACTGGATCAGTTACGGATTTTTATTTCCAGACGTTTCGAGTGACATCCATCACTCTTCTTCAGCGTCACAAATTAACAGAGAACCGATTCACTCTTATATACAAGTAAGGCCACACCGATTTAATTTTATGGATGACATCCGCGCGCGCATTGATTTTCGCCCGATCTACAAAAAAAAAAAAAAAAATCACGTCTTCCGAGGCTCTGGACTGGCTTTTTAGGCCTGGGTAGTCCATGGTGGTGATAACTCTGGTGGACAGCAGACAGGCTACCGAAGCCCCAAGACTCAATAACTCAGTACATACGTACAGTGCACGTGTCGATTCATAAATTCCGCAAAAATCCAGCATGTGTCGGCCTGTCGTATACGTCGCTATGTAATGCGCCAAATTCACAATACCAGCTTTGTATTCCTGTGGTTTAGTAGCATTTTTATTTTTGGCTGGATTTTTCTTTTTTTCGCCCGCACGCACTAGTTTGGGGGTCTTCAGAGGATGTCATCCATAAAATTAAATCGGTGTGGCCTAACTAGAAAAAC